CAGGCAAGCAGGGAAACAGGCAGACAGACAGGCAGGCAGGGAAACAGGCAGACAGACAGGGAAACAGGCAGGCAGACAGACAGGCAGGCTGGGAAACATGGAGATGGACAGACAGACATACAGAGAAACAGGCAGGTAAGCAGGGAAACAAATAAGATATATTTTTATTTTATTTAATCTTTTTCATACAGGTAGTTTCACTGAGTCATGAGAACTTATTTTCAGGAGAGACCTGTTTTACACAGACAACATGTAGAGTACAATAAACAACAATAAAAGCAGTTTAAAACAATAGTGTAAAAAAACAATAAATCCAAAGAGTCGTATAAAAAAAGTTAAATTACTAAAAACAAACATGTTTACTTAGATTTTTCTTTTTTTTTTAAAGAAATGTGCTCTGATATTTGTAAACATGTTTTCAGATATACACATGTGTGTGTTTATAGCTAAAACAGCCCTTACAGGAAAAAACAGGAAAACCACATGTGTTATGATGTTCACCATGTGAAAACCATGGATCACATGTGAATACTCAAACAAGATGAAAATAAATATTCCAAAATCACTTAGAAAATGTGCAAAACATGTGTATCTCCTAAATAACATGGTACCTTGTTTGTTCACATGTGAACATCCATGAGACCACATGGACACGTTGAGAAGGTTTTAGTCCACATGGGAACATGTGCAAAACATGTTCCACATATGTCACATGTTAATGCATTTCACATGTGGCTTTATGTGGAAAACCACGTGATCACATATTCCAGATTCACATGGAACATGTGCAAAATATGTTTCACATGTGACTCCAGGGGAAACCATGTGATATGAGCATGATAAAAAAAAATCTCTAAATCCACATGGGAAACGTGTTTCACATGCAAATTCATCATGTGTTGCACATGTCATCCCATCAGGTGAACACATGAATGTGTTGAAAACGATTCAGAATCACAGTGAATGTGCAAAACGTGCTTCACATGATGTACAGGCCACAGTAACTAATGAATCAGTTTTTACATCTTGTTTTTGTTTTGATGTGCAGATTTATAACTTTATAATAAAGTTTTTTCATTCATTCGACCTTTATTTAGACACATAAATCACACTGAGCCTCGAAGACTCATTTACAAGTGAGACCTGTTTAGACAGAAAGTAGTGAAACTGGACACGTGGGAATTGGAGGCAAAAGTAATTCCTATCAAACTCTTTCTTCTTGGCTGAGAAGAAAAACTCTGATATAAAAATATAAAAAAAACATAAATTGACTGTTTTTATAAAGCTCCTTTCTATCTAACCAAGATACTCAAAGTGCTCTACAACACAATCTGTGCCCTCATTTACCTCCACACAAATTTGACAGCATTCTACTATAGAGCTATTGAACTGGCGGCCCGGGGGCCAAATCAGGCCCATGGATTAGCTCAGTTCGGCCGGTTCAAACTAGATTTTAACCATAAAACAAACTTAATAACAATAACTGCTGGATGTCCAGCCCCTGAGCTCTTGGCTTTCAGTAACTGTGGCCCCCTGAGCCGTTTAGTTAAATAGCTCTGCACTACTACTAACTATGCAGCAAACATGATGGCGCCGAGGGCCGCATGGGGTTAAACTCGGGGAAACTCTGACCAACACGTGTTTCCAAACTGACGTCACTCCAGGTCACTTCTTCGTGCAACGATCGGTTTATTCCGTTTCACATTTCCATGTTTTAAACGTCACACAGACTGACCAGGTCCAAACAACTGATGCTTGGCACCATATGACTCGGTCAACAGAAAATATGACGACCCCGGGCCCCAACTTCCTCATCCATGCTAAACCAGAGCACACCATTTATGCCTGGTGACAGTCACGCACACATCGACACACCCGCCACGCAAGCGTCGAAGCTGGGTGCTCCCCTGTCACGTCATCAGCTGCTTATTTCACTCATATGGCTCTTACATCTGCATCTTTACAAAGATAATCTGAGTCTGTAGAGAATAATCTGTGCTTTGTCACATTCATACACCGATGTACACAGATTGGAGACAATGAGGAGGTTCAGTGTCTTGCCCAGGGACACTTCAGCATGTGACTGCTGGTGGAATCAAACCCACAGCTCTACCATTGGAGGACGACTGCTCTAACCACTCAGCCACAGCCGCCTCCAATAACTGTTATTAAATGTTTCTCCCTTCATGATGCGTTTAACGAGGTCAGGTCGTCTGGACGGGTTCTTCTTTGTTGAAATGTTTCCTCCTCCTCGTAGTGGATCAACCGGGTCGCTGCTGACAGCCAGAACTAGTTGTTCACATGGACAAAGGTGTTTCAACTAAAAGGAATCCGTCTGACTTAACCTGGTCAGATTGATAAACCTGGAATATTGAGCATGAATCTGGACTTCCCCTCAGGTGAAAAGATCCATTCTGTGTGTTAAGAAACAAGTTAAAGTCCGTTTACCTGCCGCCGTTTAGAGCTTGACTTCTCCTGACGCTTCTTCAGATCGTTCTGTAACGTCATGAACATGTTGGACTTTAGAGAAGCCAGACTCTAATAAAACCGTTTGTTTCCGGTTCTCCAGCTGAAACTGCACCTTGAGCAAACATGACCTTAAAGTTTCGTCTCTCTGAGACGCTCGGAGCAGAGAAGTTAACGTTTAACTCGTGAATCATCGTTATTGTGTCTCAAGAATGTTTCAGTTTGACGACCGACCAAAACAAGGTTTATCTCGAGATCTGAGACGTGTGTGTGCATGTGCGTGTGTGCATGTGTGTGTGTACAGTTCACGGGGTCACAGAGGGTGTGGTGTTGTGTAGGTGTTGAATCTTTAACAGCTGCGTGCTCATATCTCTGCTTGTCCGAACTCAGAGGAATCTCAATCTGAATTATGGGTAAGTCCCATCTGTCGCCTCCAACCGACCCCCCCCCTGAGCCTCTGCCGCCCCCCCCCCCCCCCCCCTCACCTGACACAAACCTCGAGTGATGCAGACAGTCTCCACGTTTTGCAGCTTTTCATTTCATCATGAGTTGTATGATTCGGGTGTGACATCAGGTTTGCACCTCGTTTGACTTTAATGTGATTAATTCAGTTTCAAATGTTTCTTCTCTGTGGAAATGTCACTTTTCTGTCGTTATCCTGCTTTAGCTTTATACATAAATAACTGTAATGTCCTTTTTGAATTCATTATAATGATCAAAATAATTTTTAGGAATATAATTCTCTTGACATTTACGGATCTGCATCGCGGTTTTAGGAGGTTTAAACCCCAGAAGCACGAGTGACACGAGGGGGCTCAAATCAAAAAAACTAAACGTTTCATTAAACCAGAAATAAATAAGTGACGTGGCAACAAAACTTACATGAACTGTAGATAAATCATGACACAAGGCATGAGAGCGCCATGACTGCTGTGAGAGGTGAGCTCAGCAACCGAGCGGCCTGATGAGAGGATGAGCTGCAGCTGCGACTAATCAAACAGGGAACAGGTGTGAGGGGGCGTGGCCAGCGGAGGGAGCAGAGGCTGACTGAGGAAAAGTGCTGAGAGCGGCACAAGAAAACAAACTAATAAAACTCAAAACTGAAGACCGAAGTGCGGGAGCTCACATACCATACCATACCATATCATTTTATTTATAGAGCACTTAGAACAGCGACAAGGCCAACCAAAGTGCTGTACAGACAGAACAACAGGTAACACACGAAGCAAAACACAAAATGAAGTAAATCAGAAATATAGACATAAAAACGATGCAGATAATAAATATGACGACAAGTCAGTGTGGAGCGTACTGGTTCAAAACACAGATCCTCTGGTGTTGAAAGCTACTGAATAGTAGTGGGTTTTTAAACGGGATTTGAAAACCGAGAGGGAGTGGGCCAGTCTGACAAGCAGAGGTAACTCGTTCCAAAGTCTTGGACCTGCTACAGAGAAGGCCCTGTCACCTCTGCGCTTAAGACGAGTTCCTGGAACTGTGAGGAGCAATTGGTCCGCTGACCTCAGGGAACGTGGTGGGACATACAGTTGTAACAGATCAGAGAGATGGGGTGGGGCGAAACTGTTCAGTAATTTGTAGACATACAGGAATATTTTGAACTGGATTCGAAGGTGAACCGGTAACCAGTGCAGTGAGGCCAAAACTGGTGTAATGTGCTCTCTTTTGCCTGTACTGGTTAAAAATCGGGCTGCTGCATTCTGGACCAGTTGTAGTCGTGCAATGGAGGTCTGACTGATACCAAACAGGAGCGAACTGCAGTAATCAAGCCTGGATGTAATGAATGCATGTATTACTGTCTCCAGGTTATTTTTGGACAATATGGGCTTCAGTTTAGACAGCCGCCTCAGTTGGAAGAAGCATGATTTAACAATCATGTTTACATGATTGTTACATTTCAGGGAAGGGTCCATTATCACTCCCAGATTAGTGACTCTTTGTTTTTCTGACAGTGGAAAGGTCGATGCAGTGGTTTGTGATCGTGTCGTTGGGAGGGAACAACATGACTTCAGACTTCTTTTCATTGAAACTTAAGAAATTTAAAGCCATCCAGTCCCTGATGTCAGCCAGGCAGTTGAGCAGAGGTTGAATAGAGCATGTACCATTGTGTCTTAGGGGGAAGTAAATTTGACAGTCATCGGCGTAGAAGTGAAAGAGTATGTGGTGTTTCCGGAAAATAGCACTAAGTGGCAGCAGGTATAAAGAGAATAGGAGGGGACCCAGGATGGACCCCTGTGGAACCCCCCATTTAAGCTCTGCCGCTGCAGAACTAATATCCTTGATGGAGACACAAAAGGATCTGTCAGCGAGGTAGGATCTGAACTAAATGAGGGCTGACCCTGTGATGCTCACCTACTGCTCCAACTAGTCCAAATGGAACTTAATCAGGATCCGGATCTGGGTCACAGCTTGCATTCTGAAGAACTCTGTTTTAACAACTGGAAAAGTAGAGCCTCATAAAATGACACACCTTAAATGAGTAAACGCTTCATAAGGTTAATATTTATATACGTCTGTGCTTCCTGTTGATGTTTAAGAGCCAGTTTGGGTCCAGAAAGGACTCAAGTTGGGTCTGGATCTGGTATGTGGTCCACCATTTGGGAGCTGTTACGATAAAGGCAAGAAAAGTTGAGTCTCTTAAAAATGTTATTTGTAAATATTAGAAAATAAAGTGCTTGTAGAAAATTATACAAGTTTTATTGAAATTTCAGTCAAGACGTCAGGTTTGACGAGATGGACCCAAGAATGCAAAGCGAACACGGGGAGCTTAAAAAAAACTAAGAGATTTACTGACAAGGAGACCCAGACTGGAGAGCAGTGAGGACAGAGACACCTGGGCCCACCTGGAGCAGGTGGAGGTGGGCGGGGCAGGACCAAGGAGCAGAAACTGAAGCACCGAGAAACAGAACTACACACATCAACATGACAACCAAAGAGGAATAAACCTAAACAACCACCAAAACCCACAGATCCTGGCTCCGTTTGGTTCTGGATCCCAGTTTAAACCTGGAAAAGCTGCGTCTCTTAAAATTTAAAACCGTCGACGTGATCAAATGTGTGATGGTGACGAAATAAACAAAATGATAAAAGTTGATCAATTCACCAACTAACTCAGTCCAGACGAGCCTTAATTTGTGTCCAGGTCTGGTCCACGATCCACTATTTGAGGACCCCTGCTACACCCAGAGAACCCGAGGCGAACCCCCCCCCCCACTCTGAGCTGGCTCACCTCCAGGCCCGTCCTCTGGTAACATGCTGTCCAGTCTCGGTCTGTCCTCTCTGCAGTTAGGAGCACGGGCAGAACCCAGTCCAGCACCGCTGGTCTCGCTGCGTCCCGGTTCCCGTCAGAGGAACAGTAAACCTTTATGAAGAGTGGCGCCGGGGGGAGGGGGGGTACTGCCCATGCTCTGTGGCTCATGTGTGTTTTTGTGTGTGTGGGAGTGTGTGTGTCAGTGGGTGTGCATGCACACGGGGGTCATGCGTGGGCGTTTGAGCACGCTCCAGCTCGTCCACATGAGCGTGGAGGGGCAATGAGTGACGGTGACAACTGCAGTGGGGGGGGGGGGCACCATGACACTCCGGACTCTGAAGCGACGCCTCTGTGATGAATCTGGATGGAGTTCTGGTTCGATCACTTCCTGTGGAGACGGCGAGCAGGAAGCTGAGAGGAGCAGAACTCCTCCTTCACACACAGGTATGGGAAGAATGCAGGTGTGAACACAAACACGAGAAAAGTTTGAATCTAAATCAGACCGTTAACTCTCGACAATCAGGCGTGAGACAAAAAGTCGACGCTCGCTCAGTTCTGACGTTTGAGACTAAATGAAACTTTATCGGGTTCTAAAAAGATTAAAATTTAACCTCAAGTAAACAAAAACACACAACATGTTTCACAAGTCTTTATGAAATAAACAAAAACTGGTTCCATCTTGTTGCTTCCTCAGGATCATCACGAGTGGGACCACATCTGCTCCGGAGCATCCAGGTGTGTTAACACAACGCCAGGGTGGAAAAACATCAGCAATGAGCTCAGAGCTGCCCATCAATCTGTGAAAGGTCAAAGGTCATTTCCAAACCAGCTGGAGTCTATCGTTCTTCAGATTATTCACACGTGGAAAACATTTAGGATGGATGACGATCTTCCCAGCAGATTCACCCTGAAGGTCAGACCGTGCAGTGACTCTACAGGCCTCAGCCAGCAGGTCAAAGGTCATGGCCTCCTTTCATTTATCATTTCTCTCTTGTCTTTTGGGCACTGAACTTGTTGTTAAACAATAAAGAGATGTAAGGACTTTAATGTAGAAACAGATCTAAGATTAAACATTTAATAGTCATTTTAAATTTTACCGTTCCTTGTTTAAGTTTCCGTAGTTGTTACTGTGCTTAATAGACTTTGGTACAGTTATGTTGGGGTTGGGATCCCACTGTGGGTCCAGAAACATAAAGTTAGGGTCTCCAAATTATTTCCAGAAAATAAAAAGCTCCTTTACAGCATATTTCAAGATGATGATGGAAAAAGACATTAAAGTTGTTCAGGTGGTCTCTGGTGGTTCAGCTGGTCTCAGGTGGTTCAGCTGGTCTCTGGTGGTTCAGGTCGTGTTGTCATGGTGTTTGTTCGGAGCGGTGATATTTGTGGTCACTCTGAGTCAGAGTCTGTCGGAGGATTTCTCTGCCTGCGTCTCTGGGATGTGCTGAATAGCTGAAGTGCATCAGACTAAATGAAAGACATCGGATCCGGCTGAGGCCCCTCCTGAGGCCGCCCCGGCCTCTGACCTTTATGGTTCTCGGGGGATCTGTGCCATGTGTCCCCTCAGCTGTGGACAGAGAGTCCAGGAGGACAGACTCGTGTCTTCTCTTCGCAGGTTTGATGCGTTTGCGTCACGTGATTGATTGACATTTCTGTGCACGACCTGCACGTAACGTGATGGGTAATGTGCGCCGGATGGTGCAATCTGCGGTTCTGATCCTTCTGATGGAGACATGGTGCCTCGGCGTCTCTGGGATCAGCTGCGCTAAGTCGGAGCTTAAGGAGGAGATCTGGTGTACGAGTGAAACCGCGAAGGCCGTGCGCCTGAAATAGTCCAGGAAACGCTGCACATGTTGCTCCTCTGATCCACCATAAGCTGCACCCACAACACCCGGCTCCGTTTCAGCGCCATGACTGGATGTTCTGCTGACAAACAGCTTTGAGCCACAGCGCCCCCTGCTGCCAGACAGACAGCACATCAAGCGCTCTGCCAGGAGGAAATAAACATTAAAAAAAGAACATGATCTTTATCAGGTTCTAACATGATTAAAATTTAACCTCAAGTAAACAAAAACACACAACAGGTTCCTTATGAAATAAACAAAAACTGCTTCCATCTCGCTGCTGATCCTCATGAGTGGGACAACCTCTGCTCTGTGTTAATACAACGCCAAGGTGGAAAAACATCAGCAATGACCTCAGAGAAGCAGCTGCTGCTGCTCATCAATGAGGGTCAAAGGTCATTTCCAAACCATCTGGAGTCCATCGTTCTTTAGAGGAAGATTATTCACAAGTGGAAACACTTCAATTCAGTTTATTTATAAAGCGCCAAGTCACAACAGAAGTCGTCTCAGGCGCTGAACAGAAACATACTTATATATAAAAATAATAATTTAACATTATTTATCTGAGGAGCAGACTGCTTTGAGTTTAACTTCATCACAGACTCTCATCTTGAGCAAGTATGAAGGCGACAGTGGAAAGGAAAAACTCCCTCATGAGGAAGAAAACTTTAGCAGAACCAGGATCAGGACAAGCGACCATCTGCTTCAACCGGCTGGGTTTGAGAAGAACAGATACACAATGGCAGGTCAAGAATCACGTTGATAGAAATAGTATTGAATGAAAACTATTCAATTTTAACAATTAATTTAAGGAAATGAGGTCAATTTGTCCTCCAGTAGTCTAAGCTTAAGGCAGCATGACAACCCTAACTATAGGATTTATCAAAAAGGAAAGTCTTAAAACAAAAACAACTGAGAATTGTCTCAGCAGATTCCCCCTGAAGGTCAGACTGTGCAATACCATACCACTTTATTTGTAAAGGACTTAAAAAAACAAAAGGCAAACCAAAGTGCTGCATAATAAAACAAGCACTGGACAGAATTTAACAAGTTCTCCTGAATGCGTCAGGAATTTTCCAGATTTTCTAAATCATTTATAAAGATTTTAAAAACATCAAGAAGCGAGTCAGATTTAAAAAAACAGGAGTCGTGTTTGAGAAAGAAAAGAGCCTTTAATTCATCAGTGTTTTCATTTTATTTCAAAGGAGAAAGATTCAGGAAAAGTTAACAGGAAGAAGCAGTTAGGAGGATTTTTTTATTTTACTTTTTTTTTTCAGGAACAAGTCGTCAGAACGGGAACGTACACTCAGTAAAATCCTGGATTAATCTGAACCAGTTCTTGTTTCAGTTCTACAGATCAGGCAGAGGCGCAGCGACCAAACGTCTTCCTTCCTTCGTGGTAGAGTTCTGGTCTTTCTTCAGAAATCATGAAGCAAAAAAAGGCAACGTTGACAACAAAAATCGCTTGTTTTCATGTTGGGCCCTCGCTGTACGGCAAGTACAAACACGTTGTTCGTTTCTGACTTTGATAAAAACGGGTCTCGACGTTCTTGATTGCATCATTTCTACCGGTTAGATCAGAGTTTTGTCTTTCGCTCGTCCAGATTATTTGACGCGTATTTGAGACCAAAATTTGGTGAAATCACGGAGAATCAGCTTCTAATCTGGTGGAGAAAAACGAAACATCTAAACAGAAGCGAAAACTTAAAGAAAAGGTTAAAACCTAAATAATCGTTTTGAAGATTAGGAGAGCTGCTGCAGGTCAAACAGCAGAGGTTAGCCAGCTCCTGAGCTTGGCTTCTTGGTTCGCGCGGTTCAGTCTGGCGAGAAGGGGCTTTACCCGCAAACCCGACGACGCCAGCCGACTCCGGCAGAACCATGAGGTAGATATCCGGTCAACCCGACCACGAGAGAAAAAACAAACCCTCCATTTCCACATTAAAGTACAGCTCGTGTTTCATGACCTGTCCCGACAAAGAAAGGAAAATAAAGAAAGCGTGCTCTGAGTTCGTCGCCGTCTTCGCTCAGTATTGCCGTGAGACTCGCGTCGTCTTTATTGCCACCAAATGATTAGATAGCGAAACGCTCCGTGGAAACCGCCACGATTTCACACACATCTGATCACCAGAACGATAATACCTGATCGGGTTTGATGAGAAAATGTCAACGATGTTCGATGTTCTGTAGGAAAGGCACCGTGTCCGATGATAAATTTATTAAATCCTAATGAAATGGTTTCAGCTGTCGGCTGCAACTTTGAAAACCAAAACGAAGTTATTCTTATTAAAACTTCAGTGCAAACAGGTTCGTCGTTTACCACAATTGTAGGAGCTCTAAAGAAAATCACAAACACCGTAACGAAGTGGGGGGCGGGGGAGGGGGTGTCATGCATTTTAATGGGAGTGGTGGAGGGGTCTTCTGTTTGAAAATTATTGAAAAAGAGGAAAAAGAAGAGCATCTTGGTTCTTATTAAAATAAATCTACTTTTCTTTCTTTTCTTTTTTATGACCAACCGCTCAAGTCCGTGTCCATCATCTTCCATTTCCACTACGAATAATGAGGCTGTGCAAAAAAAACAGAGAAAAGTTCGTGTGTCTGGTCCAAACAGGGCAGGGTTAGATCCCCGCGATGTCCTCGGCAGCTCTCCGCCTGTCCTCCGAGTTACGGAGCCGTGACGAGGCCTAAAAATCGGGAACACAACAGCAGAATCACTTAGAACGTTGGTCGTAATAATAAAAAATAAACAGTTAAGGAATATTTATTAATGTCAAATACGAGAAGCTTCTTTCTGCAGTGCCAGACGGGAGCGAGCGAGGAAAAGAAACGATGCTTCTCACAGCTACTAAAATAAACGGTACGTCGATATCGCATGACGCTAAAAAATTTAAACAGTGAGGTTGTAGTTTGACCGGAATTGAACAAAAACAAACTTTAATGTTTTTGGTGCAAGATACTGAAGCGGTTAGGAGTAGAGAACAGAGGGAGGCTTTTTTATTTATTTATTCATCTCTTGTCCGAGGCAGCGCCAAGTGACGGATCCTGGAGAGTTGAGACATTTTATCCACAACCAGGAGCAGTGGAGGTGCCAGGGGGTGGCTGATGGTGGCCTTGGCCCTCATAGATTAATCTTCGGTAATGTTTAAGTCTAGATAAGAAACGTGTTCTTATTAGGACTGTAGTCAGCCGTTTAAATACCACTACAGAAAATTACCGTAAGATCAGGGAAGCGTGTGCTGATAAAAGCATATATAAATTAATATAATAAAATCATATTAATAGGAATGCCTTATTTAATGATATGATAAATATAAGATCTAAAGGATCAATTTAAAATGAGTTTCATTGGGTCAATATTTCACTGAAGGAATGCTAAACGGTAGTAAAGTTACAAAAAGTTAATATTTTTAGTTTTTAAAGTAAAAAAAATTACAAAAGACTTTTCGAATTTGTTAAGAAATGGTCGTAAGAAGGTCCTGGTTCAGGCTCTGGTTTGGACCTGGGTCTTCCTGTGTTTGAGTTTGCATGTTCTCCTCGTGGGTTTTCTCCGGATACTCCGGTTCTTTCCCACAGTTCAAAAACCTGCATGTTAGGCTGCCTTCAGGCCCCGGAGGACCTATAAAAGAGATCTGTGATCTCAGTGGGATTTGCCTGGTTAAATAAAGGTTAATAAATAATAATAAATATTTTAAAAAAGACACAAACAAAAATAAATGCATGGATTTTATTTCCCTACAAGACTTTCTGAGGGTAACGGTTGTTAACGATGGCATTTTGTATCCACAGCAGTAAAAGTTTCTGGATGAAACGTCAGGTTTTTGCTGCGAGGCCTACCTGCGTTACTTGCTGAGTTGACTGTAAGGAGACGAGTTGTTGGAAGAATCCACTTGCTGCAGCGAGCTGTTTTCCTGCAACGCAAAAACACCATATTTCATTCAGAATCTGGTAATGACCGTCCTCGGGGCAACATAATTGATGGTTTTAGAGGACAAAACAACTGGAAGCCTGATGAACGAAGGGCTTCTGAATGTGCTGTTGTCATTTTCTGAAGTAATCACTGCTTTTAGATGCATCGCAGGTAAATGTTGGGAGTGAATGTGTCAAAAATATAATAAACTTACAGGTGCTGCCTGCATGGAGGGGTACTGAAGCATATAGGCTTCCTGGACACTGGGGCTGGCAGAAATATACTGTAAGAAAAGAACAATTACATTTAATCCTAATTATTGAATGGTTGAAGAAATGTACAAGGTTCCTGCTCAGTTTGATTAATGAACAAAGAAACAGTATAAAAAAAAAACATTTGTTTCAAAGAATTCCAAATTTCTGAACATTGTTCAAATGAGGATATTTTCTTAATTATGTTTTTTTTTTACTTGTGAATTTACACCAAATTTGATGTAAAATATGACATTTACAGAAATTAAATTCCAGTAAAAGTCTGTAAATTTAGAATAAAATTTACTAAAATTGTATAAACTAGAAAAAAAAACTGTTTTAAAATAAACTAAACATGAGTGCAGTAGGCTTTGTTTGTTGCTACTTTTAACTTCTAGATTGGGTTTTGCTTCTTTTAGATTTGAGTCAACATGTTGTTACTTGTAGCTAACATTCTGCTGCTTTTAGCTCCTGTTTTACATTTAGCTAGCATTCTGCTGCTTTTAGCTCCTGTTTTACGTTTAGCTAGCATTCTGCTGCTTTTAGCTCTTTTCTAACTAGCATTTTGCTACAGTTAGTTTCCAGTATTTTGTTACTTTTAGCTAGCACTTTCCAGTTTTAATCTAAAAGTTTGCTACTTTTGCTACTTTTATTTATTCTATTTTTTCATTTACACTTTATTTATCCAGGTAGTCTCATTGAGTCATGGGAACTCATTTTCAAGAGAGACCTGTTTTGGGGAGCGAATGGTGGGGGTTAAGGGTGGGGGTTAAGGGCCTTGCGCAGGGGTCCATAGTTGGGCAAATGAGGGTGGAGGCAGGTGTGGGTGTTTCACCTTTCCCACCCACATTTTGATGTTGACAATACCGGGTATTGAACCGGCGACTTTCCGATCACAGGCCCATCTTCTCTAACCTCTGTGCCACCACTTCCCCACTAGCTAAACACAAAATGCTAACTAGAAGCTGAAAGTAACAAAACTCTAGCTAAGACCTAGAAACTTCTAGTTTCTAGCTCCCATTTTGTTACTTTAAGCTAGCACTTTAGCTTTTTATCTTCAGATTAAGGCTAGCCTTTTGCTACTATTAGCTAGTTTTGCTACTTTTAGCTTCTAGCTAGTTTTGCGTTCAGCTTTTAGTTAGCCTTTTGCTGCTATTAGCTACTTTTGCTACTTTTAGCTTCTAGCTTTTGTTTTGTGTTCTGCTTTGAGTTAGCCTTTTGCTGTTATTGGCTAGTTTTGCTACTTTTAGCTTCTAGCTAGCATTTTATTGCTATTAGCTAGAGTTTTGCTACTTTTACTTTCTAGCTAGCGTTTTGTGTTCAGCTTTCAGTTAGCCTTTTGCTACTATTAGCTTATTTAGCTACCCTGATGCATGCTCAATAATCCAGGTAGAAAAATCTAAAAAAGTTTAATCTGGTCCTCAGAACATTAAAAAAAAAATGTAGAAACGTTTCGTCTCTCATCCAAGAGACTTCCTCAGTCTGAGGTGCTGTTTTCAGCTCAGTCTCTTAAATAGCACCTTCTCAGAGTGGATCAACCAGTTTGATGCTGACAACCAAAACCAGCTGATCACATGATCAAGAAGGACCATCAGCCTAACAATGGATCATTAGCACACTGACGGCTGTTTACTATTCACAGAGGGCTGAGTGATACTAGCAATCACAGCATTGTAAGAGGGGGACAGTTGAACCCGGAGGCCTCCACCCCTGTTTAACGATGGACGGTTTCTTTTCACAAAGATGGCCTCCTTTACTCCTCTCTCAAACCATCGTTCCTCTCTATCCAGGATGTGAACATCTTCATCCCTGAAAGAGTGACCGCTGGCCTGGAGATGAGTGTAGACTGCAGAGTCCTGGCCTGATGATGTTGATCTTCTGTGCTGGGCCATCCTTTTGGCCAGTGGCTGTTTAGTTTCCCCGATGTAAGACTGATCACCCTCCTGACACTGAACAGCATACACAACATTGCTCTGTTTGTGCCGGGGGACTGGATCTTTGGGATGAACCAGTCTTTGCCGTAATGTATTTTGGGGTTTAAAAGCCACTGGGACGTTATGTTTAGAAAATAAACGTCTCAGTTTCTCTGATACTCCCTCAACATATGGAATAACCACTGGTCTGGGTTCCTCCTTTTCACCTGATGGCTGACTGGAGTCCTGTTTGGGTTTCTTCTCTGCTTTCAGGAAGGCCCAGTTAGGATATCCACATTGCTCTAGAGCACAGGTGTCAAACTCCAGGCCTCGAGGGTCAGAGTCCTGCAACTTTTAGACGTGTCTCTGATGCCACACAGCTGAATCCTATAACTGAATTAGCTTCTCAGTGCAGTCAAGTTCTCTAAAGTCCTGCTAATGACCTCCTTATTTGATCCATTTGTGCCATTTATAAGACTGAGCTGAATACAGCACCTCAGACTGAGGAAGTCTTTCGGAAGAAAGACTAAACGTTTCTACAATTTTATTTATTTATTTGAATGGCCAGAGGACCAGATTTAACTTTTTTAGACTTCTTTAGCTACGTTTAGCTTCTAGCTAGCGTTTTGTGTTCAGCTTTCAGTTAGCCTTTTGCTGCTACTAGCTACAGTTTTGCTACTTTTAGCATCCATCTAGCATTTTGTTATTGTTATGCTTGATTTTTACAATTTTTTTTAATTTTGAACAATAAATCGTGTCATCTCACACAAACACATCAAGTAGAATATTCCTGAATATGAGTCATTTTTGTTTAATAAATAAAACACTTGTTATAAAATCTATATAAATAATTTTCTAGTTAAGCTACGTCGGTCCAAAATGTCCCAGATGAACTCCTCTCATCTGTTCAGCTCACTGTCAGGTCTAAGGAAAGTCCCTGCATCGTGATAAATGTGTTTGTTTTCCAATGATTTCAACAAAGCAGTGTCGGAGTTGGACCCACGCACCGATCCGTTGTTTCCCAACAGCAGCTGGCCCATCTGCTGAGTGATCATGGCTGTGGGGTGCACCGACACAGAGGGGTCCACAGAGGGAGACATCACAGCAGCCTGGAGAACAGGACAGATCGCCTGTTAGTAAAATAACTTGGAAATGCAAGAAATAAAAATAAATGTTATAAACGACCAAATATACGGGGCCAACTGTAAGAATTATTCTGAGTCCAGCTGTAGACCGTGCTCCAGGTTTAAGTTAAAGACAACTACCGGTAGTTTAAATTAAGGACAACTAGTTTAAGTTACAGCAAATGCAAAATAAAATTATTTCTTTAAACAGTACGGTAGTTTGTTCTTAAATTAATTATTCCATATATTAACAATCAATCTGGAGCCAGGTAAGAAATATTTATAATCTGGATTAACAGACTTCTCCTGTAACTTACTATGTGAGACAACATACAGTTTTTTTTTTTTTCTGTTAAAAATTACCAGCCAATCTGGATCCAGATGATAAAATAAACATCTGGATTTAGGGACAACCACGGTAAATTACTATAACTGCAAGAAAACACACAGTTCATTTATTTATTTATTCTTTTTGACCGATCTGGGGACAAAACGTATACAGAAAAGCTGCGCCCTTTGAAATTATTTCCTGTAAACAAGAGAAAATATGCCCAGGTCAAACAGTTGGACCATGGTCCACCATTTAAAAAACACTTTTACACAATTATATTTATGGCTGCAAAAGAAGGAGTGGTGGCGCAGAGGTTATTGAAGGTGAATCTGTGATCAGTAGGTCGCTAGTTTGACTCTCCAGACTAACGTCAAAATGTGAAGCACCCACACCTGCGTCCACCCTCATTTGCCCCACTCTGAGCCATTGAGCAAGGCACTTAACCCCCACCATCTGCTCCCCCAGGCACCTAGATGGCAGCTCTCTGCTCCACACAGAGGACTGTGGGAGTTCGGTGTCTGTGGTTGTGTCAGGAAGGACATCCGGCAGAAAAACAAATGCCAAGTCTAAGTACGACTTCATTCACTGTGGAGCAGCCAAAAGAAAAAAAAAATATATATATATATATATA